CTGCCTCTGTGTATTTTCCCAGGTTTCGATATGTTGCTGCAAGATGTCCCATGGCATAGATTGTATCTGGGTGTTCCACTCCAAGAATTCTGTTGCTTGCATCCAGAACTTGCATCTGCAGCTTCTCTGCTGCTGTGTATTTTCCCAGGTTTTGATATGTTGCTGCTAGATTTGCCATGGCATTGATTGTATCTGGGTGTTCGACTCCAAGAATTCTGTTCCTTGCATCCAGAACTTGCATCTCCAGCTTCTCTGCCTCTGTGTATTTACCCAGATTACGATATGTTGCTGTGAGATTTGCCATGGCATAGATTGTGTTTGGGTGTTCCACTCCAAGAATTCTGTTCCTTGCTTCCAGAATTTGCATCTGCAGCTTCTCTGCCTCTGTGTATTTTCCCAGGTGTTGATATGTTGCTGCTAGATTTGCGATGGCATTGATTGTATCTGGGTGTTCAACTCCAAGAATTCTGTTCCTTGCATCCAGAACTTGCATCTCCAGCTTCTCTGCTGCTGTGTATTTTCCCAAGTTTCGATATGTTGCTGCAAGATGTCCCATGGCATAGATTGTATCTGGGTGTTCCACTCCAAGAATTCTGTTCCTTGCATCCAGAATTTGCATCTGCAGCTTCTCTGCCTCTGTGTATTTTCCCAGACAATAATATGTTGCTGCTAGATTTGCGATGGCATTGATTGTATCTGGGTGTTCCACTCCAAGAATTCTGTTCCTTGCATCCAGAACTTGCATCTCCAGCTTCTCTGCTGCTGTGTATTTTCCCAAGTTTCGATATGTTGCTGCAAGATGTCCCATGGCATAGATTGTATCTGGGTGTTCCACTCCAAGAATTCTGTTCCTTGCATCCAGAATTTGCATCTGCAGCTTCTCTGCCTCTGTGCATTTTCCCAGGTGTTGATATGTTGCTGCTAGATGTCCCATGGCATTGATTGTATCTGGGTGTTCCACTCCAAGAATTCTGTTGCTTGCATCCAGAACTTGCATCTCCAGCTTCTCTGCCTGCTGTGTATTTTCCCAGACATTAATATGTTGCTGCAAGATGTCCCATGGCATAGATTGTATCTGGGTGTTCCACTCCAAGAATTCTGTTCCTTGCATCCAGAATTTGCATCTGCAGCTTCTCTGCCTCTGTGTATTTTCCCAGCTTTAATATGTCGCTGCTAGATGTCCCATGGCATGGATTGTATCTGGGTGTTCCACTCCAAAAATTCTGTTGCATTGCATCCAGAACTTGCATCTCCAGCTTCTCTGCCTGCTGTGTATTTTCCCAAGAATCGATATGTTGCTGCTAGATTTGCCATGGCATAGATTGTATTTGGGTGTTCAACTCCAAGAATTCTATTCCTTGTATCCAGAACTTTGATTTGCAAGATTTCTGCTTCCTTTGTGTATCCTTGCTTTTCAAAGAGATTTCCAAATTTATCATAAGCATCATCCAAGTAACTGATACCCTTCTGATTGCTTTCTGATCTGGAATACTCTATATTTGCTCTTACATGTGTTACCAAGACCCTGTGAAATCTATATGGTTGGCTTTCATCACATCTTAGTGAACAAGATAAAGTAACATATGCCATTAAGCAACATCTTTCCCTCTCATCCAAAGTCATTCTGTCTCTTCCCCAGGCATGGACAAGTGGATGCATTGCATATACACCATTAGATGGTGCTTTCTTTATCAATGAGAAGGACAGCAACATCCGAATGGCTTCTCCAAAAAGTAAATTATTCCAAGTACCATCTTTGTTCAGAGGCAGTAGTCTCTGATCCAGCATAGAACTGGCACATGGCAATTCAGGGTCAGAGGTTTCTTCATCTTCTTGAAGTGCAGCATAATAAAATATTTCCTCAGTGATTCCCTCATGATGGAAGAAAGGAAATAATTCCAGAAGGAGCATTGCACTTTTGGCTGCATTGGTCTTATGAAAATCATCAGATTTAGCCCTTTGTTGAATTTCTTTGTATGATAGCTCCCAAGTTTCATACACAGTTCTGTTATACTTGGAAGCTCCAGTAAAATCAGGATGGGATAATAATGTTTTTCGATGTTCAAAATATTTTGCAAGATAGTTTCCAATAGTGGTGGCTCCAGAAGCAATGTAAGCACCAGCCTGATCAATAGCAAGAGGAAGGTATGAGAGCTTCCTCACAATCTCACAAGCTTCAGTTTGAAACTCCATTGAAGATGGATCCAAGTAACTGGCTTTTAAAAGTAACTCAATAGAATCATTCTCTTCCATCTCAGCTACTTCAAGAGAATTCTCAGGTGAGGTTAAATTCCTCATGGTGGAGTTGCGACTAGTTATCAGAATGTTTCCCCCCCTTCCAGGTGGAAGATAAGCTTCCAGCTCAGCAGGTGATAGAACATCAGCATTGTCAAAGACCATTACATAGTTCTCTTTCAGCAAGCCAATCCAGTGAAGAGCAGATTCAGGTGAGCCATCCAGTCCACTAGACTGGGCTGCAGGAAGATTACAGATACCCTTGAGTGCCTGAGTGATGGTGCCAACTGAGGAAGCATCAATCCAGAAAACAGAAGAGAAGCTGAAGGCAATTGAAATTTCAGAAATAAGGGTTGCTTTTCTGATGATACTCACAAGCCAGACATTTCCTCAATGAACTTCAAGCAAATCTGAGTCTTTCCAATACCCCCCATTCCATACAACAGAAAGATCTTTCGTCTCTGAGCTGAGTCATTTGTGTTGGAAAAATGCCTCTCAAGTTTGGCGATGACTTGTGTGCGGCCTGTGAACCGATTGCTCGGATTCGGCACGAGGGGAATGACCCCATCAGACGTCGTCCTATTGCCATAATTGATGTGCATCTGCCCGAGATTCACGCTATCAGTTGGGTTCACCAGAGCATTTGCATCATAACCATTCTACTCACAGAGTTGTCGATGAACGTGTTGTCGCGAGCAACAAAGTGGTGAGAACCCGCAAGAATGCCCGCTCTGCTCATGTTGAGATATTGGAGGTGGATGGGTTGAGGATGAGGGAAGGAAGGAAAGAAGAGCGCCCAAGACGTTAGAGACCCCCAATCATGCCACGAGGTGAACACGTGTTTTGGTCTATTTTTATGTACCTTACGTACCTTCTCCAACTCCTCCTCTTCTTCGTTTTTGCCCTTCCAGTGTGACCCTATTTCGAGGTAAGTCAGTTCGCCTTCGTTTGAATACCTGTGTTCATACCTGTAAACCTTTTTCAAGGCCAGAGGTGCTGCGCGGTAGCTCAGCGGGTCGTGTTCAAGTGCCGATATATCTGCTCCGTCGAGTCCTCGTCTTGGCTGTTAAGTTGGTTAGAATGTCAAGTGAGTCCACATTCTTCCCTATTCTAAACCGGTGGTAGTGATCGACTGTTTTACACAGTTGGTTCTATAAAAATCCTAGTGTATTCCCCGGACACCCACGTTTTCCTGCCTCCTCCCCAAACCGACCGCCAATGAAAAACCAACCCTCCTCCGCGATTCTTTGTGTCCCAACCATTTTTAGCAGCGGCGTGTTGCCTCCTACCTCCCCATCTCGACTTCCCCGCTACCTATTCTCGCTGCAGAACTCCACTGCCTTATTGTCCCTTTAGCCGTCTTCCTGGATTACGTCGATGATTGGGAAGGCCATCTAGGTGCCACATGTGCAAAGCCCTCCTCGTTTCAGCGCGTTGTAAAAGCGACGGACCGGGGCTCTTGAAAGCGAGGTTCTCGTCGTTGTCCAACGTCCACGAGCGGATATCGTGGACAAACGAATCTTTCTCAGTGTGGGGGAAGGAGGTTGACTATTGAGCGTTGAGCGCTGAACGTTCACACTACCCCAATCGCTCACCCGATTTCTCTTCGATCTTGTCTCTCAACGGTGAGTCGCCCCCCACCTTCCTTGTGGTGTGGAAGATTCGGTTTCTTTGTTCGCATCGGCGCCCAGAAAAGAAGGAGCTTGAGGTGTACCGAGCGGTGCAGAGGATCGCGTTGATCCCATACATGCTGGAGAGGTCTTGCGGACGAAGGGCGAATCGGCGCCATTGAAAGGAGAAAGGAGGAGAGGCAACGGCTGGTCGAGTTCGATATGATACGACACAGCGTCCTGAATGGATGGGGGCGCCTCTATATGTTTCGGGAACGCGATTGAGGGGGAGAGGAGTGTGCAGAGGTGGTATGGTGGGGTAGTGCTGTCGCAGGTAGAACGATAGAAGACTACCATGGAGGAACCTCAAGTGCGCGAGGCCGGAGTCAGTGGAGGGGTATAGGTGAGATATTGAAGAAAATGTGATGGATATCCAACAACGCCACGACCCCCCTCCCAAATCCTAAAACGCCCAACCTCCTCACCCAAGGAACCTCGTCGCCCCAGTGGGTAATCACAATTGCTGCCTGTCCCTCTAAGACCACCGCCCTCAGTCAAAGGACTGTGAATCGACGTGCTGCGAATTCTTTTTCCGTCTCCGGAGTTCTTGGCGTGGACCAGGCTCGTGGGCCAAGGGACAAGAGGACCTCCTAGCACCGAGCAATTTTCCACTTTTCTGCTTCCCTCCTCCTCCTCTTCTCCTTCCCCCTCTCCGCCTCAGTCGGTTCGTTCACAAGTTCAACCTCGAATCCGAGCTCATACTCTTCCACACGAATCTGACCCACCCTCTCACTCCCTCGAAATGGAACAAAACCCCCTCCAAAGCCTGTAACGAATGCCGCCTAAACCATCATGCCCGGATGACGACGCATTTGCGGGCGTACGTGAGCTGTTGGTGTGCGTTTTTGTGGGTTGTATTATTGGAGAAGAGGGAGACGATGACGTGGCAGGAGATAAGGGAGATAGGGAGGGCTATACGATTGCGGGCGGTTGCCCGTTAAAAGGGAGAGGCGTGTCGATTTTCCCTGAGCCTGTAATGGAGGGGGGTTGGTTAGGGCGGACGTGAATAGAAGGGAGGGAGCTGGATATAAATGTATGCGCGAAAATACGGCTACACGGACTCGGAGGGAGAATCAAGTTGACGAAGAAATTGAACTAAAGGCCGCAGAGGGAGCTGCAGCCAAGTCGTAGGCCGAGACTGAGGGACGGATTCAACACATGCTTACTATGGCAATGCAGAGTTGAACGAACGAAATGCTTCATTACTACGCGAAGACCTCCTTCGCACAAGTAGTAGGCGTGTAGAGGCGCGGAATGGCAAGACAGGGCTGACTGACAAATGTGAGGTCGACGGATCTGTAGGACCAGCTCCAATTGCAATCGCACCTGGACGAGCTGCAGAGCTGGAACACACGAGCGTCATTACAGACGAATCGTCGCTTTACTCGGTATGGAGATATTCCAAGCGACTCTTGTTTACCTGACGAGAACTTTGGTGATACCGGGTCTGCCACGGTTGAGGGACACAACTTGGAAAAAGAGGCTCTAGTATTATTAGTAGTAAAGATGAAGGGGTATCTAGAAGCTGAAATGATAACGGACGATGATCTACGTAGTACGTAGTATGTATGCGAGTCCTGTCAACGAGAGATATTTGCTTGTACTATGAGACGGAATTGGGGTACTTGTGTAGTGTGTACGTAGTGACGCGTGGAACGGAAGAAGCAAGAGAACAGTTAGCCATGTAGAGGCAGTTCCAAATAGTAGAAGCCAGGGCGAGGCCCAGATCAACAGGCATTGGTTCTAACATTTGCTCGCCTCGAGGCATCGCCAAGGACGGAGTGTGTCGTCGACGAGAAGGTTATCGAGGAGATCTGAGCTTCGGTGGAAGAGGATAGCCAAACAACCGCACGCTAGGCGTAACCTATCAGACGAACGATGTATGCGAGTTAGTACCTGCGGCCACTGGCAAAGACCGAATCCACGAGCTTAATACTTGTTGTACCTTCTCAAGTCGACGCACGAAGGGGTACAAGTGGCCAAGTTGTGCGAGGCATGGTGCCATCACTAGCTGGGGATTGCACTGGTGCTGTGGAACTAGAACCTAACGAAGAAGGTCAGTCAGCCAGGCAAAAGATCAGATAGAAGCAAGGTGACGAGAGGAATTCAGAAACCGGGGAAGGGAGAATGGTATACCGAATGAGTAAGTAAAGCAAGGCCGATAACTTACCGAAGGAGTTATCCTCACTCTCCAGCTCTGCGACTCAAGCTTGCGCTTATGATAAGGCTGTCCAAATTGCTCTCCAAATTGCTCTGTGTGAGGGATTTGCAGTGGCTGCTGGCGAAGAGGTGATGCTGGATCCACGAGCTCTGTACAGAGAGTGGATTCCACCATGGCAATATCCCCGGGCCGATGCACGGAGGGGTGAAAGTGGCCGAGTTGTGCGGCGGACGCGAAAGACGATGTGATCATGGAAGTCTAGGGAGTTGGAGTTTGCCAGTGTTGTATTATCAGAACCTGAGTAACAGACGAAGGCGGTCAGCCAAGTGCAAAAGGTCAAATGGGTGCAAGGTGATAAGGGGATTCAGAAGCCAGAGCAGGGAGAAAAGCAAAGAGGAGGAGGTAACTAACTCACTGAAGTCAAAAACGTCCGTTCTCCCCTCCCCAGCGAGCTGGCGTCACTTCTTTCTGAACGACGTGAACCAGGCGGACAGCCATGGCTTGTGAGCTTCTTGAGAGCGTATTGGCGTCGTCGAGCTGGGCATGGTTAAAGACGTTAGCCAGGTCATTGCAATGGAGATGATGGTTAGAAGTGTCCTACGTGTCCCCCCGTCTCACACATGTGATGTGCTGGCAATCACCGGCGACCCATATATGGTAATCCTCTGACTTAGGGCAATGGCACATTGCCCTAAGTCGGCTCGAGAACGCGCTACCGCGCGTTCTCGAGCACCTAACCTACCCTAACCATCTAACCTAACAACCTAACCTAACAACCTAACCTAACAACCTAACCTTACCAAGAACGCGCTACCGCGCGGAGAGAAAAATATCCCTATCCCTAACCATGAACCCTGGCAACTAACCTAACAAAAATGTGCTACCGCGCGGAGAGAAAAATATCCCCCTAACCTTAACTCTAGCCAACCACTAACCTAACCTCACTAATTATTTGATTCATACAAAAAGAAATGGAGCATTGAGAATTGAACCCACAACACCTTGGTAAGAGTTACAAATTCATTGTGATTAACCACTCCACCAAACCAGCATTTATTTTCTTGGTTCTTCATGCACTATATTATAGTGTACCTTCCCACAGCCTATCATCTTTCCTTTTAAGGAAGGTGAGACGGGGGGAGAGCTGTGCCATTTATGGTTAGGGTTGGCGCTGTCGACTACGGCTGGAGAAAATTGACTTTGAATTTAAGGTGACGGACTCTCCTCTATCCATATACAAAGTGGATATGATCGGCTAGCTGGGTCGGGTTTTGCAGATGGAAGGCAGAGCAAAAAGGTTGTGCGGTTGCAAAGCTCCTGCCGCCACCTGCCGCCACCATGCGTATACGCAGCTCGAGCCCGTCCGAGGTGTTCCCTTGCCTTCCGAGCACTAGGGGAGTTAATCGAACCTGGGAGGTCGAATGGCTGATGGTGATGCATCTGGGAGATATGTCGTCTATCGATGAGAGGTTTGAGAGTGCACACTTTCCCTAGTCTGGAGACAGTGTCTGCTACTTGAGAGTGGTGTTCCTTGCGTGGTCTGAGGATGTTCGAAGGAGCCAAGTAGCGATTGAGGAGTATGAGCCGAAAGAGACGCATGTTGGCAGTTTATCTACAGGGGTCAATGATCGGCTGAATCGAGGTGACGTCAGCCAAACAGTACAGATAAAATCGGACTTCGGCACAAGGGGGCTCCGGCAATAGAATGCCGGACCTATACCCGGTTAGTTAGTCCAGCTGATGGTCTGAAAAAAAAAAAATGGAGGTCTCGACAACTAGAGCTCAGGATTGCTTCAGAACCTCATATTGACTTGCATTAAGTGTCCTTATGTCACATACTACCATATAGCTGCTTGCTTTGCAGTGTTCACCAAGTGTGCACAACTAATTTTTGTGAGTGCTATTTGGTTGTGTTGCAACGTGACATTTTTGGTCACATCCTGAACCCCTGTTCTCAATTTTCTGCATCCAAGGACTTCCAGCAGCTCTTACTTACCCTATTGCATCACCTACATACAGGTTCAACACTTTGTGTAAAGGGTAAATAGGTTACTTTAATGATAAATAATTTTATCTGTCAAACTGGCCAAATTGCACCATGAATGCACTGCTGTGTAGAAAGAATGGCCATGAAACTTGATGGGTATGCAATTCCACAGTATTCTGCCCAACCTTACCTACTACTATGGGTTGAGCAAGCACCTCAATATGGGTTTGCGCGGTGTGTAGGGAGTCTGCACAAGGACAAGGAGGCAAGTGTGATGTAAAAATATTACTAATATTACCATATTTGGACATGTGCCTGATTACGTTAGTCAGTTAGTCCACCTCAAGTTGCCTTAACAAAAAAATCGACCCCGGGTCTTTTTTTTCGATGCCGGCACCCCCTTGCTTCGGCAACACTACAGTCATCAACGGGTCAATGACACAGCTGGGTCATTGACACAAAACACTCTTGTTGCTTCAGTTTTGCTCGAAACAATTTGAGTATATTCAAGCACATAGTAATAGGCTGGATGAATACATTTCTGATTTTGTTGGGGTACCATAAGACCCTCGGCATTTTGAAAGTTCCATTTATTGGTTTTCATGAAGATTGATGAATTCTATAACCTAATGTAGCAACGACATGGCCAAGTAATATCTACATTTTTGTGGTACATGGGTACAGCACAGTGAAAGGAACACTCATAGCATTTTATCTAAGGAGGTAGGGTTCTATAAAGCCTCTAAGAGTGCAAAAGAGGGGAAACAACGTTGAGAGGTGTTATCTTTTGTGACAAGCTCTGGGTCACACTCAAACTGGGCCAGACAAGCGAAAAAAAAGTTTCGTATTGGTTAACCCATCTGAAAATGACTGGCCGACCTCTATCCGATGCTTGGAAACTCCAATGAGACAGGGGTACCAAGGATGGCCTCCTCATCCGTGCAGTAGCCCTCTATCGACACAAACAGGAAACAGCAGTCAACCGAAAGCCCCTCAGTCTGCGTAAAGTCTGCAAAAAGATCGAGGATGAGCACTGGTCGGAAACCAAGAGGACAGTCAAGCTCGATCCCTGTACCTTGCAGAGGCTGGTCAAGGGTGGAACCCTGAAAAGCATCTGGAATTCTCAGAAGTCTTGGTTGCTCAAATGGGAGGCGACAATGGTCATTGATTATGCCATCAAGGTTGCTTCTCGTGGATTCCCACTCAGCCACAGACGGCTCAAGGACCATGTTGACAGCATTTGCTGTGCGCGGCTAGGAAGGAAGTTTCCTGCTTCCGGAGTAGGCAAAAACTGGACTAGCCGTTTCATCAGTAAGCACTCTGATTGGCTCAGCACCTATTGGACTCACAATCTCGATGAAAAATGGGGATGGGCAGTTAATCTGCACACAAACAAGGAGTGGTTTGATCTGTTGGAAGATGTCCTAAAGGGAAACAGGGATGAAGAGTTTGATCCTCCTCCAACTAGCGCAGGAAGCAGTGGTCAGGCTGATGAGGTCGATGACGACATGCCAGCCCTGGCAAGTCTTGAGAAAGATACCTATGGAGATGATGGAGTTGATGAGGATGAGGATGGTGGACATGAACCTATCCGAGAGGAGAATATTTATGGAACAGACGAATCAGGGTTCTTTCCAGAAGGCGGCGTTAGGGTGCGTGTGATTGGACCAAGAGGAAAGAAGACTCAGCATCAGCAGTCGGATGGTGGGAGGGAAAATACCACAGTCATCGTCACGATTTGTGCTGATGGATCATCGTTGAAACCTGCCGTTCTCTACAAAGGACAATCATATCATGTCAGGTGGGACCAGGAAAATCCCACAGAGGCCTCGTACGTCTCAGTATTCATTGAAATTCTTGCTTCTCACCAACATTCTATGTAGACTTGGTTATTCGAAAAAGGGCTGGACCAATGGTGAGATTGGGGTGGAATACATCAAAGATTGCCATGAACAAATGAAGGCAAAAGCAAATGGACGTACTTGGGTGCTTCTTGTGGATGGCCACAATTCTCACTACATGCTCAGCTTCCTCCTCTTTGCATGTAAGCATCGAATTCATGTCTTGTGTTACCCTTCGCATGCAACCCATGTGTATCAAGGTCTTGACATGGTCATATTTAGGCCATTAAAGCTGTTTTGGACTCAGGAGAAGGACAGGTGGTTGCGTGAAAAGAGGACAAAAGTTGACAAGACGAACTTTTTACGTATCTATGGTGCTGCCCATGTCCGTGCGTTGACACCCGAAAACATCAAGGCCGCATTTCGTCAAACGGGTGCATGGCCTTTCAATCGCTCAGTCATCACTGCGGAAATGATGGCTCCAAGTGTCGAAACCTCTTGCCAGGGTTACCTTCCAGTCCAACCAACCACACCTGTCCGAGCTGTGACCGCCTTGATTCACGGTGTGCACAAGCGCGCCCACGCCATGGTGGTGTCAGAGACTGATAGCACAGATGACGAAGCTTTACCTTGCACCCCACGCCGTCGCCAAAACCCATTTGATACGCCTGTCCACACAGCCCTCCAGTCACTTCGCATGTCATCCCTGTCCTATCTCATCACTTCATCCCCAATCCAATCAACGGCGGAACCACCATCATTCACTGCTTGTGCAATCTCACCACCTGTCACCTGTCATTTCACTGTTCCGGAAACAACGCTCAAGTCAGAACTGCGAGAGGAGTTAGCAAAAGCAAAAGCAAAGCTGGATGTGCAGAAGACTCACCTCATCGCTCTGCAGTCCTTGTTGGTCCTGAACAGCATTTATGTCGATGATGTTCGAGGTCAGTTAGCAGCAGAAGAGGAGGCAAAGAAAAACAAACAGAAGAAGGGTCGACTGGTAGCGGATGGCCGGCCTCGCCTTTACACAGCAAAGCAATTCACACAAGAGGTCAAATCGCACACAGAGGAAATGATTCGAAAGGAAGCGGAGGCGAAGTTGCACAAGGAACAACAAGCAGCAAAAGCAATTACAACCAAGGGACAAAAGGTAGCCGAGGCTGAGCAGGTGGCGCAAAACAAGGAGATTCATGCACAGTGGAAGGAAGAGGTTGTTGCGTGGGAGGTTGAGAGGGACCTTGCTAAGTGAGAGAAGCACCGACCTGTGTGGAAGAAGCCAACTTTGAAGGGACGGCTCATCCCGAAACCAGCCAGTTGTGTTGCGGGAACGGTCAAGGCGATAGGGGCACCTGAAGGGGGAGTGAACACGGCCGTGGATGACGAGGATGAGGACGGTGTGACTAACTCCCAGAGCAGTGATTCTGACAGTAGTTCGGATGAGGACTCAGAATAGATACTAGTACTTGGTGGCTCGTAGCATGGAATAGGACTGGGAACCAAAATGATATTGATTTATAGAGGGGGACTGCTAACTACTCTGAATGTGGGTCCAAGAGTTCTCCAAGTGTCCCATTCATGCCCTTTGCCATCTGTGTAATCTTTGCTGCTGCGAAAACCATTGGCTCCCTTAAGAACTTCGCCTCCACCATCAAATGGTCGTAATCTCTCGCCAGCTTGACGCTGTCATTGCATGTCCTCCAATGAGCCGCATGCGAGCGCTCGAGCTCAGCAAGTAGGTGGGCACAGTTTGTGCACGCATCGTTGGTTTCCTCAGCTTGGGTGCTTTCTTCGTCTTCGATTTCAATGGCTGGGACAGGTGGGCTATCCTAGGATACCCCATCGTGTGTCAGGTTGTCGTACCACTGTTGGGAATCAATTTGGGAGTTGAGTATGCTGTTTGCACCAAAGTCACTGGACAGGGAGAGAATCAGGCAATGAACAGGCAATATGATGTAGTAGACTCATGAAGTTGTCTTCAAGGAAGCTTTCAGAAAACTTTTCCGAGCTGTGTGCTTGCGTGCTGGACTTGGGAAGACCCCAGCTTGTTTTTCAGCCACCTCGATATGATGATAGACGGCTTTCGTTGTGGCTCATGACATGAGCTTTTTGGATGATCTGCCAAGTTTGGAAGAGGGTGGAGGTGGAAGGTTTAAGTTCCGAGTAGCGTCTTGGAGGGAGGGACGTGTGCTTGAGGTCGGCTTGTCCATTGAGATGATTGTTGCTTTGAAGAAATATCTGCAGACAAACAAAGCCAAACTCCAGATTATATCCCAATCGAGGCATTTGTGACTGTGTCATTGAGTAGGTTGACGCTGTTTCGACTGAAAGATGCAGTCCTCAACAACAGCACAAGGTAAAATTATTTAAAGTCCTGGAATGTAGAGTTAAGATACATTCTAACATTTTGTGTGACTTGAATCAGTGTGCTAGACGTGATACGTTCAGCTACAAATGTTTGTGTCATTGACCCGTTGATGACTGTACAGTCGTTTGCATAATGGATTGCACTAGACTCGCCAGCCAGTCGTTCTGAGGTGTTTGTCATTTGTTGTGGCTTTGTTGTGGGGTCAAACATCAGGTGGACTGCGAAAAATAAGAACACCTCAGAACGACTGGGACAAACGAACACGGTTTGGCAGGGACCCCTGTGTGTGACGCTGACTTGGAGAAATCTCTGTGAAACATTCACCCACCTCAAAACACCCATCCAAAACATCACAAAAAAAAGTTTTTCTGGCTACACCTTTAGATAGATTATTTAATTCAAATAATGTGATTACAGTAGAGTTGAAAAAGTAGATTTTTTTCGACACCTTGTGAGGACTGAGGACTGCGGCTATGATGACATTTGTCTGACAAGTTCCATAGGGATCACCACGGAGCTGCGGAGCATGTACATTTTCTTGCCGGTGACCAGCTGTCCATCACCCGATTACACGCCCTCAAACCAAACTGGCCACAAAGATGAAAGGAATGCAATGTTAGGGTGTGCAGGAAATTGAGGACTGTTTCATGCGCATATTGCAGATCTTCTAGGCACTCTCTCAACATATTTCGGAAAAGCTGACAACAGTCCACGCAATCCCAATTTCGATTCAATGTCATGTGAGAATACCTGTGTGGACTCTACTGAAACCAACAAAACACCAAATACCAGGTTCTGGCCACCAACTGAGTTGCCAGGTCCTGCAACTCTTGAAAACCCAACTAATCTGTGGCCAGGTCCTGCAACTCTCAAACCCCCAACCAAACTGAGTCCACCCCTCGAAAGTCCAGCAGCAACGGCAGTTGAAGATATTGGCAAATGCATGGTGGTGGATGAGAGTGTTGCAAAGAGCTATCAAAGTGAGTCGAAGTCGATTCATGATGGCCATCAAAAACCGCCAGAAATGGAAGGTTGCCGCACGTGAGGCGAGATTAGTGTCACGTCCTCTGTCGCATCTCCTACCTAACTCTTTTCCCTCCCTCCATCCTTACTTTCCACTTCCCATCAAATAATTATACCACCTGACTATGTATTTTTCTGAATTATAGGCACAATTTCCAAATCATACGATCTTTTTCTCCTTCCAACTGAATATACCGTTGCCCATGCCGACACACTTGCGCGAATCCAGCCGCTATACTCGCTTTACAGTGGGCAAACGGCGCCCACCGGCTCTTAACCATCGACCTGCATCCAGTTTACTTGTTCTGGAAATGGGTAAGTGTGACATCTCAGATGCGGTTCAAACAAGACCAAATATATTTTCACAAAATTGTTGTGCAATCCATTATGCAAACGACTGTAATTTCGTGTTACAGCGCTTTTCACATGTATGCGGAATCGTGTTTGTCAGAATTCTGTAGCTTTGGTTATGTTTGCTACCTCAGCATTTCCCTTGACAGAATTTTTGCGAGAAGCCTCAGCACGTCTATATGAGTGCCAGCGCCCCACAACATTGAATGTCCCCACTCTTTCCTTCTAACCGATGGCCAGCACTCCATCCTCTGAGCTCATTCCAACCCCCAATCCCTCAAACTTGACCTTCACAGTTGCCACGGTTGCCGTGGCCCTCACCGTCTTTCTTCCTGCCGCACAAGGCAAAACTCCGACCGGTAAACCTGCAAAGGCCAAGCTCAAGACCGACACAAAGAACAAACAATTCAGCTATGATTTCGATAACACCAAAGACAACTACATTGCATTCTTGAACCAGATTCTTGCTGCTCATGGACTTGCTACAAAATACGGGCCAGTAATGTCGTCTTCTCGGTTTCCAATCAAGATTCTCACCCCACCAGCCTGCGCGTAAGTCTTTCGTTTATAATCAGTTGATGGCACACTCACAGTCAAGTATCTAGCAAAGCTGATGCTGTTGATGTGGAACGGCACAGCGAATACAAAGATTTGATCGATAACACATGCGAGAAGAAGGTGAACAAGCTCACAGTCCTAGTCCACATCAGTGCTATCAAGGATGCATCAAAGAAGGTACGTCGAGTATCAATACATTCATGTATTGGTCTAATCTGCAGTAGCGTAAGGCGGGTGGGCCAGGTCCTGAGAGTGATAGCGGTTCAGATGGACAGGAGATTGATGAAGGCAGTGGTGAGGATGAAAAGGTAAGCCCTTAGTTCTGCTTTTGCCTGTAGCTGAGTCACGGTCTCGCGCACATTAGGGCTATACTGCGATGGACCGGGAACTAGGTCGCCTTCGTGGTCTCTTGGAGAAGAAATATCAAAACCCAAACGATTCAGGCTACACCTACATAACCAATGACGGCGAGCGCCTACCGCTCACACCAATTATGCTAGCCCAATGGTGCAGAGCACTGGTAAGACTCATTTTTGGATCCTTTCGTCAACACTGACCACTGCCTCTTTCCTTCTATGTAGTACGACAACACAGCGACCCTTTCTGACCCTCCCATCTGCCAGGCCTTTGATATGGATCAATCTAACCAGAAACCCCCTTTCCGCATGGAACCCTGGGTTTTTTCTGCATTTGTTAGAAATCCCCCTTCCATCAGTTGATGAGTTATTTTGAGGAACCCCATGTCGGAGTTGAATTCCTAGATGCCGACACGTGTCGCACTCAAATTTAAACCAGCAGAGCTTGCTAAGTTGGCATGACTGCAGGTGATTACAAGCACATCCTTGTCGGCAAACAACGGCACTCGACCAGGGAACCACCACATATACGGTCTGCAGGGTGTGACTGAAGAAGAGGAAAGCGATGTCGAGAAGAAATATGAGAGTTGAAGTCGCCCCTGGTCATGATGAGAAGAGAGCACAATGAGTTGAGGCTGTTGAGCTCCATCACGCACATCCCTTGTCGCACACATATCGTCGCGCGATGTGATGCGCCTGCTCGACAAGTGGTTACCATGGTAAATAATATTAGTTCATGGTCTACATGATGCTACAAGATGAGGGTTTGGACAGGTAGCTATACTTACATAGATGTAGGAGAATGGGAGTGGTTCAGGGATGCCACTGCTCCCTTCCATAGTCCCTTGCTACTTGAAAGGTTGATGACCCCCACCACCAACTTGAACTTCTTGTGTGCATGGGCACATATATGCGCATGTGGTGGACTTCAAATATTCTGAGCTCCACTTCTTGTGGAAACAAGGTTTCTACGCAAGCACTTTGGAAACCCTGGGTTGTTCAGGGGAAACCAGGGTTTCTGGATAGTTTAATCCCTTTGATATGGCCAATTGTGGCCGGCTTCTACCTGGACGAAGCCCAACCAGCAACAGTTCTAGCTCCTCGACTAATTCTCCTTCAGACAGCCTTGACCACGTCGCCTCTATCTTCTCGACCCTCACATCCCTTCTTGGTGCAAAGAATCTCCCATCCCCAATCCTCCAACCCCCTAGCCCAGCCTCTCCAGCACAAAATACACCTACCAAGCTTACACACTTTCTTCACCATGCCCAAGATAACTTAGGAATTCCCAACATGCTCGAATGCGAGGGCCAGCTTTCTCATTGCCGGTATGGCCCTGATATTATCCCCTACGTGTCCGATGCTGCTATCGCGAAGTGTGGTTTTACTGAGGGTGACGACATTCGTCTCAAGCGTGGTGCAGAGGCTTGGTGGGCAAGCCCGGAGGCCAAACGTAAGCATGCACGGGTGGCGTCGCCCTCACGTGATATCACACATGCTATTCGTTTCGAGAAGCGGTTTGTTGAAGGAGGGTCTGCATCATACTTTGGTTCAGGCATGGAAATGGGTTACAATGGCCGTAGTGATGAGTATGAGTGGTGGTACTATTGTGACAAGGTGAAGGAGCTTGTCAAGGTCCCCACAGGGCAGGTCCCAATCCTGGCAGCTGAATACTCCGATGCTCGTGAGGGAGAGGACGATTTCTGATACCATCTATTCCTGCTTTTCGCCTTGTTGGACTCTCAATACATACTGTAGTAACCACTAAACCATCATTACATATCACCATTATTATTCTGCCTGTCATTACTCTCATTATTTGATGTATGCACTAAAATGATGTCCAACTGTAACCTAAACAATGTATCCCGAAGCTCAAAAGAAATTCCATGCCATCTTTGATGTAATACTCTCACATGCCCGATCAATCAAACCCAGTGACTCATCAAGCCAGTTGCGACGTAGAAACGCTTTGATTGCGGAAAAAGCTTGCTCGATAGGGTTGAGGTTGGGTGAGTAGGGTGGAAGGAATACGAGTTTGCAGTCTAAAAGTCATCAAAGGCAATTGTTCAGAGAGTTAGCTTGACAATGACTTACGAGCTTCATCTTCAACCAAGTGCCGAAGCTCTTCAGAATGGTGAATGTTGCAATTATCAAGTAGAAGGACACTTCGGGGACCTGGCCATGGGTTGGTCAATGGAATCTGAATGAATATCAATTTTTCATGCACATAACAAAGAATTGATTCATTCACCACATGTTCTCGCACAAAGTTTGTGAAGCGCGCACTGGTGACAGAGCCAGGGATAACGTTGTATGCCATGATAGCTTGAATCATGAGAACCGGTAAAATAGAAACCCTCTGGCCGCGAACAAAAATCCTTCGCTGGAAGCATCATCGGCCTTTCAAAGACCAGCCCATCTTTCTAAGTGAAGTCTTGCTATTGCGAGCTGCCTCGTCAATACTCATGAGCTGTGCTGGATCAGTCACGAGTTCTGCAATGCGGTTCATGAACATGGAGCGCTCCAGTTCATTACGCTCAAGCGGACGAGCAGAGACAACTTTTCGAGAAAAATGAAGGCGGCGCAGGGTCCTTAGCAGGGTGGGAACGGAAACACAGACACCACAGCGCCGGTGCAATTCCTCCTGAATCTCGTCAAGGTACAAACAGTGTTGTTGGTTTAGAAGACTCCGGATAAGCTTTATATCTGTAGGATTTAGAGTTCGATGTCGTCCTCGGCCAGCAAAACGTGCAGCGGGGTTGTAAGGTACGCCGTGATCCCTGTGATACTATGCGAGAGTTTGATAGACAAGAGACTTCCGTACGCCAAGAATTTCACAGATTTCTTTGACTTTGTAGTGTTGAGCATGGAACAAGATGGGAATCCGTTCTTTGAGGTCGCGAGATACGTGTCGAGGGGGCATCTAGGTAGGAAATGAAGAAACTAATGGCAAAGTGTCGTAGATATATAAAGATCATATAAATAGACATATGATGTAATGAGTAAACACAACCAAAGCTGCAGAATTTTTGCAAACGCGATTCCGCATAGATGCGAAAAGCGCTGTAAAACTTCCTCCCTTCTTCATCTTTCACAAAAGTTATGTCATGCAGCGAACACTGCTTTCTTACCGTTCGCCGGCGTCCTCTTTTATATTCTGTCCTCGACGCTGGACGCGATGGCTTCTTCAATTACCACTGCCGTTTCGCCCACCCGTCGTTTGCCTTCGCCAGTTGTTGTGCCTGCCTACAGGCAGAGCCTCCTCTCAACCCACAGCAGCATGCTGTCATCGTCAGCAACATCCTACAAGACCGCCCCCGTCTCTGCTGCTGCCTCGCGCCAGTCTCTTCCTCTGTCTATGACGTCCACTGTGTCGTCTCCTCACACCATCTCCAACCGAGATGCTGACGACAGCACCAACAATGACCCAACTCAGATTATCATGGTCACCAGTGAGGTGGAGGTAGAAACTGGCCCTGCTGGTCAAGATAGTTATTTTACTAGAACGACGGTGACAAAGTCGGTGACGACTACGGAAACGGTGCAGCCAAGTGGTGACAACGAAGTCCACTTTGGTCCGCCCCCGCCCTCTCCCCCTGCCAGCGTTGAAAGAGACGAACTGGAGCCTCCTCCTCCTTCCAGTCGTCTACTACCCGCGTCACATTCAGATTCCGTCGTTCGCGAGTCTTCCACTACCACTCGAGAACGTCAAGCATCATCCACATCTTCTCGATTGACAGCAAGGTCATCCACATTCGACACTACCCTCCACAGGGCCTCAACCGATACGAAAGGCTCACTTCCAACTCTTCGTTATGCCTCTCCCCCCACCGCCGCCGAATCATCATCAAAATCAGCAGCATACGATCCGTACCTCCAGCCTCCGGTCGCCATCATACCCATGCGTCCAACTCGTCGAAACACAACAGGTTCAAGCCCCATCGCTGCCAGTTTCAAGCGCGGCCATCAGACACATACGAGGCAATATGGGTCGTCGTCACATTCGCCTGAGGATGCGTCGTATTTCGGTGAAGTGGGGATTGAGCTGGCGTCGGATATTGAGATTGCGGCGGAGCAGATTAGGAGGGAGAGGATGGAGAAGAGGGCGAAGCAGCAGCTGCAACAAGAAGTGGAGGCGGCGCTTACCCGTGCTGAGACGAGGCCCAAATCCGAGCAGGATATGCCGCTTGTGGGCAACCTTATTGGGGAGGATCATGTCAATTATGTGTTGATGTATAATATGTTGACGGGTATACGTATCGGGGTGGGTTTTCTTTTTTTCTTTATTCATGATACACGCTGAATGAAGTCGTGCAGGTTTCTCGATGTCAAGCTAAAATAAAACGACTACTGACGATAGAAGACTTTACCGCTCGTCACAAGTTTTCATTCGATATCGTCGGAAACGAGCTGACTCCGTCTGCAAAGTACGATTTCAAGTTCAAGGATTACGCGCCTTGGGTATTTCGGACACTTAGGGAAGACATATTCCATCTAGACCCCGCAGACTACCTCCTCTCCCTCACCGCAAAATACATCCTTTCCGAACTCGGATCCCCCGGAAAATCAGGCTCCTTCTTTTATTTCTCGCGAGACTATCGGTTCACAATCAAAACCATCCGACACTCTGAACATAAATTCCTCTTGTCCATACTCCCGCAATACTTTGACCACGTCAAAGAAAACCCACATACGCTCTTGAGTCGATTTTACGGGTTACACCGCGTCAAGCTCCCCCGTGGAAAGAAAATCCATTTCGTGATTATGAATAACCTCTTCCCGCCCCATAAAGATATCCACGAGACGTATGATTTGAAGGGGAGTACGGTGGGCCGTGAGTACCCCGAAGATAAAGCTGCACGGAACCCACGGGCAGTGCTGAAAGATTTGAATTGGATAAAGAGGGGGAAGGCGTTGGATTTGGGGCCTGAGAAGAGGGCGTTGTTGACGGAACAGTTGAGGCGGGACGCGGAGTTTTTGAGGGGGGTGAATGTTATGGATTATAGTCTGCTTGTGGGCATACATAATATGCAGAGGGGGAATAGGGATAATGTTAGGAGGAATACGTTGAAGGTGTTTTCGGTGGGTTTCCTTCGTTTTCATTCTCCGTTCCTACATTATTTGTGCTCACCCATTCGTTATTTGTTTTTATAGCCGGACCTACCCAACTCCCTAGGCCGCTCAAAAACCACTTCAGGAGGACACAAATCCCCCGAAGCCATCGCCATGCGTCGGGCCATGCGGTCCTCGGACCCAAAGCGGCTAGGCAAACATACCATCCGACTCCCCGAAGAAGATATCGGGGATCGACTTCAGTTGATCTTTTATCAAGACGAGGGAGGGCTGACGGCGACGGATGAAGGCAATGAAGGGTTGGATGTGATTTATTATTTGGGCGTTATTGATATTTTGACGCCTTATTCGCTTGTGAAGAGGGCTGAGCATTTGTGGAAGGGGTTGAAAGCTGATCGGGTGAGTCTTCCTCCCTTTTTTTTTTTTGGGAA